TTTATATTCTATTATAAAAGATTATTCCTCGATTTCGTTATTTTTTAATAATTCGATAATATATTTTATAATATTAATATCTATTCTACTATCAAAATCTCTAATTAATAAAAAGAAGGTATCTTCATTAAATATTACATTTTTTATTATAATAATTTATTTAAGTTATAATATTTAAATATAATATATATTCTTATTTATATATTTAATAAGATATTTGATAAATTTATACAAGTAAATTTTGAAGTCTTTTATATATCTCCCAGTTTCTTTATCTTTAAAGAATAAATATACTCTATATTTGTATATATAAATTCCATTTCAATCTAATTATAGATTAGAAATGACTTTTTGAATAATTACTGAATTATAATGTCTAAAGTATTCATAAAATTATAAGTTCAATTTTTTATTCGAAAACTTCCAATCTAATACTTTTAAGGAATTAATATTATATAAATAAGTTGCTGCTAATACACTCTCTAGTTAAATATCTAAAGGAAAACCAACTCCCTTCTATATTATAATCACTTTAATATATACTTCTTGTTCTACCCTTTTAGTATTATTATTTGACTTATAGATATAGGTAGGGGTGAGTTCAAAATCTATACCTTATTCCCACATTCATTGTTAATATTCTATTTCTTTATTAATATTTATAATTAAAGTGTCATTATTATAATATAAAATATAAATTAATAACCTATATTATCTCTTTATAAAAACATTAAAATTCTAAATAGTTTTGTAAATATATATAAAGGTCTTTTATAATAAGAAAAAGAAGAAGATTTTTTTACTAAATTCATCCTTAATTAGTAATAATTAAAACGATTTATTATAACGTGATTTATCAGTGTGCGGGTCATTTTCACCTCAATTCACTCTATTCTCTTTCAATACGCGTTTTTATCAACAATCCACAATGGATTCGAATAATCAAGAAGCCCGTATACTCCTCGCTATCGAAGCTATTCAAAAAGACAAAAAAACAAGTATTCGAAAGGTTGCAAAGATATATAATATCTCGAATACAACACTACAGCGTAGAATTAATGGTATTACTTCCCGTTCCGAATATCGACCTAAATCTTATAATCTTTCAGAACTAGAAGAGAATATCATTTCTGAATATATAATTGATATGGATTTGAGAGGATTTCCACCTAAATTAAGAAATGTAGAAGATATAGCGAATCATATTCTTGAATCGAGGGGTGCAAAGCGCGTTGGGAAGCTCTGGGCGCATCGATTCGTAAAGCGTCGAATCGAATTAAAGACGCGTTTTAGTCGTGTTTATGACTTTCAAAGAGCTCTCTGCGAAGATCCTAAGCTTATTGAAGAGTGGTTTCGATTGGTTGCGAATATGCGAGCGAAATACAGCATTTTGGATGGCGATTTCTACAATTTCGATGAGACGGGCTTTATGATGGGTATAATATGCCCCGGAATGGTAGTAACTAGTGCTGAACGGAATGGCAGAAGCAAGGCAATACAACCAGGCAATAGAGAATGGGCTACAGCAATCATATGTGGCAATGGGGAGGGTGAAACTATACCCCCATTTCTAGTGGTTCAAGGACAGGTTCATCTTTCCAATTGGTATACCGAAACCGATTTTCCTGCGGATTAGGCTATTAAACCTATATCTAATGGATAGACAAACAATGAGACAGGTTTAGAATGGTTGAAACACTTCGACAAGCACACTAAGAACCGAAGAAAGGGCAGGTATCGAATGTTGGTACTAGACGGGCATGAAAGCCATGAATCAAGAGCTTTTCAAGCATATTGCAAAGAGAACGATATTATATGCTTAAGTCTACCACCGCATTCGAGTCATTTAACTCAACCACTTGATGTGGGCTGTTTTAGCAATCTGAAACGTTCATATGGTGGTCAAATTGATGGATTTATCAAGGCACATATCAATCATATTTCGAAGGTTGAATTCTTTATAGCTTTTAAAGCTGCATATAAAGAATCAATCATCTCTCAGAATATGAAATCAGGATTTCGAGGAACAGGTTTAATACCATTTAACCCTGAAGCCGTACTTTCGAAGTTAGATATTCGAATTCGTACACCTACCCCTCCCTCTTTCGATCTAGATCAATGGATCTCTCAAACCCCTCACAACCCAACTGAAGCTCTTTCTCAATCAATTTTAGTGAAATCTCGAATAACCCGACATCAATCAAGCTCCCCTACACCTATATTTGAGACTGTACTAGCTCTAGCTAAAGGTACAGAGAGATTAGCTCATGAGAATACACTTTTGAATGCAGAGATTCGTACACTTCGAAAGGCAAATGAGGCATTAAGCAAGCGTCGACGCGCGAAAAAAACCCAATTACGTCAAGGAGGAGTACTTACTGGGCAAGAAGCTCTTGATATATTATCTCAACAAGAGGTTGATATTCAGATTCAACGCGACGAGCGTCAAAAAGGGAGGAATTCTAATGAAGAAGCATCTTCTAGTCGATGCTGTAGTAAATGCGGAAAGACCGGACATAATGCAAGAACTTGTCAAGATAATATAATAGATCCTAGATTATTATAATTTTCATAGTTTTAATCAATTGATTCAATGGTTGTTGAATAATATGAGTTTGAAAGAGTGAATTGAGGTGAAAATGACCCGCACACTGATATGACCCGCACACTGATAAATCACGTTAATGTAAGTCCCTTATTTATTTTATTCTATTCAACTAGTTTTAAAGGGTTTACTTTCTGTAATTTATATTAAACTTATTAATAATGAGCTTCAATGTAATTGAAAAGAGTAATAAGAGAAAGCTAATCTTACAACTACTAAGTATAGTATTTAATATACTTTAGCTAAAATATATATATCTATTTTATATTAATTTTTATATTAATTTTAAAACAAGTATAATAAGCTATTATTAAAATCAATATAAGTTTAATTTGTTACAAAAGATTTAATTTTTTTTAATTAGAATTTAAAAAAAAGTTTTTATATTTAATTTAATAAAATTCAATTTATTTAATATTTGTTTAATTGTTACATTTACGATATACATATGATCAATATATTATTATAATCTTTAATATAATAATATTCAATTTAAATCATAATAAATAAGTATAATGTAAATATATTATAAATATTATTTTATTATTCTATTATTTCATTAATAATTTTAATAAAATTAAGAACTCTATTATTACATATATATTTCGAATCTATAAAGAACTCTTTGAAAAACTTGAAAAATGTGATTAATATTTATAAGCTTTAAGTTATAATTAAAAAGCTAATAAAATATTATGAACAAATCTTTAAAAAATAAAATAATATTTTAGCATTTATTATAATATTAAACTTTTGTTACGACGACATCCAACATACCGAGTCACCTGATCAGAAAGTCACGGGATTAGAGATTCCCACTGGATCCCACTGCTCCCACCTGGTGGGACACGATGGGATCAATGGGACAACAAAGAACGAAGGTCTATATAAAAGAATGGGTTTCATTACAATGTAGAGCTTCGTGCTCAAGAACAATCATTAGTTTCATTACTATAGTTACGAGAATTGCAACCAGTTACCAACCTTATTGAATTCCTACTTGAAGTCTAGTCTAAACCACCTCGAGAGATCTCTAGACACTTCCACGTGACCCTAGAGGCAGCTCCCGTAACATCATAGTTTAATGTTACTTTTATATTATTTAAAGTATAAGGTAAATAAAGAAGATTTAATTATTGAAGAGCTTAATTATACTATTATGACGAATAAGCTTTTTAATTAAGAAATTCAAAAGGAATGGGAAAATCAAAAAAGAATTATAAGAAAGCATATAGATTTATAATATCTTCCTAATATAGAGCCTAACCTACCAAAACGATTTAATAGAATTTAATAAAATAAAGATCAGAATAAAAGAAAATAATCTTCAACTTCAACTAGCTTATTACCATTAGCATTACCTTATTATTAATCTTAATTATTATTTTAATCATCACTTTATCATCGTAATTTTGAATTATACTTATAACCTACTATTATATTATAATTCAAAGAAATATTAATTATTTACAAAACTCCTCCCCCTCTTTAAATTAATAATAATATAGAGATTATAAAAAATAAAGAGTATTAATTACCACCCCTTACTTGATTACAATTATATAATAAAACTTAATAAAGTTAATATAAAAATCTTAAAAATAATTAAAAAAAATAATAAAACTAATTAAAATTTATTTCATATTTATTAATAAATAAAGAAATAGATCTTAAATTTCATTTTATTGTAAAAAAGATTTTATAGTATTTTTTGTTATAATATACCTATTATAATTTTACCAAAAAATAGCAAAATTAACTGAATTATATTCTTATTTGATTCTGCCTACCCTCTAATAATTTTAATTCTATAGCTTGAAAATTATTATTAAGATTGAATATTAATAATAAGTTTTGAATAATTCATAAATAATTAATATACTTTATACATTTTATATTTTTATATTAATATTTATATTAATTATAAATATTATATATAAATAATTTATAAATTATTTATTTACCTATATATCCACAAATTATTTATAAATAATTCACAGGTTACCCATACAAAGTAAATAATTTTAAAATCTTGATAAATAATCTATAGAGTGGGTAGAATCTTTAATAAATAATCTATAAAGCGGATTATTCGCAGATAATCCATGAGTATAGATAATTTGTGCGCAGCCTAGCCAGTCTAAAACACAGGAATCATTCTCACTTAGACACAGGCAAGTCACAAGGAACTCGAACGCAGGGAAAATGGGATTAAGGAGGTCACAAAGAGAGCGAAAAAAAATATTGAAGAGAAATGAAATTGAGATCCATAGATTCATACTTACCGAGAAGATGAAAGGGGGCGAAAAATGAAGGACTGCCATACATGAAATTGCGGATGAAAGTAGAGTTCGAGAAAATATTCTGAGAGGTAGTTGAGATCTCTAAACATCGGCTACTCGTGATCAAGTACATTCGGAGGTTTGTACATCTCTAGAGTAGTTCGGCACATGGGACATGTTACCGTGTTGTTGTTACCTGTCTCGAACCATGGAATTATACAGTTTTCATGAAATAGATGCTGATCGCAAAATAGTCGCATGACAAACTTACGGTTCTCACTATACATAATCTCTCTACATATTCCGCAGACCTCTCTAGCGGGAATATCCTTGGGTTTGACAAGACGGAGAAGACCAAAAGTGAGATGGGTTGGATGCGCAGGATCGAAAAGAAATCTCATCGACATGTTCTTGAGTCCTCTAAACTGCAACAAATATTCATTCTGATGATGGTCATAGAAACTCCTGATTATCTCTGCTTTTTCCACGTTTGAATTTAAATGGTAAAGTGCTTGTTCATCTCCTGCATCCCCAGAACTTGCGTTGTAGGCTATCAAATCTTGCTGTGCGGTTTCAAGAACATCGTCAAAACGTTTCTGTCTTTGAAAAAGGATAGTTTGGTCAGAAATATAGGATTCCCATGATTTTCTTCTATCTGCTATCATGTTTAAGGAAAGTGCAAAGGAAATCTCTCTGTAAAAAACGTCAGAAATCCAAGTGTTGGGAGGTGGACGAAAAGGTTGAGATGAAGCTCCTTTCTCGATAGCATCACAAGAAATACACTTGCATTCTGCGACGGGGGCGCTAGCCATACGAGTTTTTGTCCAGGGATGATATTCTAATAGAAACTTAAGGTCGTATCCTGCTGCACGATACGGGTCAAACTGAATGAGTTCACAACTTCGGTGATGTTCGATTACCGTTGTCACATGTCCACAGATAGTAGAAAGAGTTTCTGTTACAATACAACAGTTGGGATCCATAGTATTCATAATTTCTGCTGTGAATGATATGTCTCTATTTTGATATGTTGTGTTGTGTGATAGATGAGTAGGTCAATTAAATCTGTCTTCACAAAATATTTGGATATCAAAATATGAGAAACTAGGTATTTATACTAAAACCAGTTTATATGTTCTCAGTCTGTATTCAAAGACAATTGATCTACGATCAAACAAACAAATCAAGAACAATTGTTACAGACAAGATATAGTGACGGTATCCTTTGTCCCCAGTAACAAATGTCATTATTCTGTCAGAAAGAAGGGAAATCTTTCATTTTTTCCGTCAGTCAAACACCGTTCTGACAGTTTGACTATTATGGACTTGTTGTGTTGTGCTGTTGTTCTAGAGATGCCCCGGTAAAGACATCATTGCTGTGTACGTTTTTGTCATCAAATTCGGGATCGTTCTCAAAGTTGGGATTTTTACAGTTCCCTAGAAAACTTCTATCCAGTAATCAAAGTCGTTTGTCTTTTCGACTTCCAAGCCTGTGTTATAAATCCAGGCTTTTCCCTTTGGGGATGGGGGGATGTGGACTTTCACAGCCCGCTCTTTTTATCATACAGCTTCAAATGTTATCTTCCGAAATTCAAGCGTAACCTATCTACGCTCAAGCATTGGTAGGTAATCATTCCCTTTGTTTTCGATGAATATTGCTATGCATGGTATCAAGTGGGAAAGTTGTAGATCGATGTGTTTCTTTTTCCAAAAACTATGTGTTCAATTGGGTCCAAAAATACTTCGGAATTTGATCGCGCAGTGCATTTAATTCTACTCTTAGCAACAATAAAACATCAATTTTTATTGTCTTGTTGAATAATAGAATTCCTGACTATTATCATTCTATCATTACTCTTGCAGTCGCAACTGCATAATTTCTGGCTGCAGAAGTAGCGATTGAATCTTACTGGAATCGGAAGTGAATTGGAAGCACAAAATCGTTATTGAGTAAGTCAACTACCCCACTTTCCGACCACCCCCTGTTTCCGACCACCTAAAAATTCATATTATCTACACTTAAAACTTTAATAACTCAATAACTATTGAACTTCAATGAAATCGCCTGTAGAATCACTTTCTATAGCACTAGAGCTATCATCTACCTCATCTTCACGATCTCCAGCTTCAATTTGTGTACGCCTTATAGCTCTAATCCCTGCGAACTTCGAATTTGGAGATACCACAACCTTTCGCCTTTTTCTAGGTAATGCTTCATCTAATTGATATTCTAGCTTTCTAATCTTATTCTCTGCCTCTAAGAGTTCATAATCCTTAGCATCGAATCCTTTTATAATCTTGCGAAATAGTAATCTTCGTGTTGGCAAATCGATCTCCTTCTCTTGAATCATTATATCTCTATATTTTCTGATATCGGCTCCTTTTTGAGGGGTTTTCCATTGAATAAACGATGAATATATATTCCATTGAAGAATAGGATCATCATCAGATTCAGGATTAAGTGATAAAACCTCTCTATTGCTATTTTCAAGCAAAAGTCGACTCATAAGAGGTTTAGCCATATTTTTGGGCCAAAGACCACTAGCTTGCCACCCAGACTTGATATTTTGAATAGTTAAACCTTCTATTCTAGCCTTCTGATAGCAAGAAAGGAAATTGCGCTTTCCAATTGGTGAGGAATCGGATAATAGACTTAATTTATTAAGTTCGATTCGATATGCACTTTTTAGGGGTGAGAACACAGATAAATCGAGTGGTTGTAGTACGTGTGACGTATGTGGTGGGAGAAATAAGAGATATATGTTGTTATTAAAGCATTCTAACATAAATGCTGTAGTTTCATGGCTTCCGTGTCCGTCCAAAATGAGGAGTCTTGAATTTTCCGGCTGAATAGGGGTAGTTTGAGGGATATAGATCTTTTTCAGCCATTCTAAAGCTGTAGCATCTGTAGTCCATCCATTTTCTGTAGCGGTAAAGTTCCAACCCTTGAATAGAGTCAAATCTGTTGGAAACCATTGTTGTTGAACTGATTTTCCCTTATATATTACAAGGGGAGTAATGCTTTTTCCATTGGCTGAAATGCATTCTATAAAAGAGGTCCAAATTCGAGATCCAGGTTGCTTTTTTTGAATAAATCTTCGATCAGTGCTTCCTACTACTAGTCCATTAAGACCCTGACCCTCCATTATACCTGCTTCATCCATATTCCATCTGTTGGCCGGCTTAATAGCCTTGATTTCAGGGATTGCGAGGTTCCGGAACCACTTCTTAATAATATCAGATGTAGCACCTGAAACTCGTGCAGAATCGATTTGATGTTGCTTCTTAGTTCCAATATTAGGATGCCTTCGAAAAAAGCTATGTATCCATTTCTTTCCAAGTGAGGGATCCTCCCCTCGTACAATAAGGAGGTGCTCTGCCATCTCTCTGATTTGACGATGTGTAGGGCTAGTACCAAGAGCTTCCTGTACTAATATCCATTCTGCTAGTCGATTCTCCTGAATTGGAGATAACTTTTGAAGTATTTGGGCGCCTTTTTGATGCGAAACTCCACCATATATTCGATCGTGAAGTGTGGTACGTGGAACACCATAATCCAAGCTAGCTCTTCGTATGCTTGCTCCATTTGTAATCGCTCTAAGAGCCTCTGCGATATCTTCTTCGGTATATCTATTCTTCATATCACAATTATAATAATATCAAAATTTCAAATCAATTGATTAAAGCATTGTTGAGTTATTCAAAGTATAAATTTTATAATTACTCAAAGCGGTGTGGTTTTTGAGGTGGTCGAAAAGAGGGGGTGGTCGGAAAGTGGGGTAGTTGACTTATCCATCCTATAAGTGGTTCAAATGCCAAGTTCTTCAAATCTCGTGGAATGACTTCTATCTTAGCGATCTCAAATACCGGTTGTGGATTGAATGTACGTATTTAGAAGATAAGAAACACCCCGATCTCTCATGAAGTATAATTCTGATATTCAAACTGAAAACTCCGTTCGGTATTGTCTCGAGTAAACTAAGACTTTGACAAATATCCTTTCTTAATTATCTGAGATTCCTCCACTCCAGATCTTTCCACACTGCTTTCACGGTAGTCATTCACAAAATTTCCGAATCGTTTGAACATCATCGTAATAACATCTATCTAAAAAGTATAAGACATATTGTCTATATCTCAATGCATCATCCAATTTTCGTCTCCTATCAGATTGTACATTTAAACGGCATGTTGTAAGTTGTAATTTGAGTTGCCTTATCATTCATATTTCCTGCATCAACCTTGTTGACGGGATATTTCACACCACCCCAGATGATAATAGCTGGGACTTGACCGTCTCTACCCACAGTAAGATCCCAAGTTCCCTTATCGTCAAAGCATCGAGGCTTGTTATCTTTAGCTGCCCATGGAATACCGTTGTCTATGTTTTCAACGCCGCAATGTGGACAACCTTCAGGACCCGTAATTTTGAGATCCACTTTACCCTTATTTATGTCGTAGACCGTTACGGTGAGGCGCATGTTGCACTTTGAATTGTCGTCTGCATTGGCGGGACAAGACTCATGGAAAAAGCCAGGAGGGAAGTAGGCATGTTGAGGAATGGCAGATACAACCAGAATGATGCACGAGCCTAGAATCGTGGTTGCGAAGAGCGGAAGAAAGGTCATATTGATGATGACGGTTTGGAACAGGAGGATATCGGCTAGATATATCTGCGATTAGTTATCACAAATAACGAAAGCTTCATTTCGATACAGACCTTGGAATGTGAATGAAAAGGAGAAAGGTCTCGAATTGGAAGTACAAAAAATTGTCGATATCTGTCTATGGAAGGACCTAAACTCGCTTGAAATTTATATTGACCGGCGTACGTCTATTGTTCCGTTTACTTTGCGAGATTCTAAGGATTTTTTTCACAAAGACCAATTTAGAGACGTCGAATGAAATTTATTCGGAATAAAATGTAGTTGTTTGAAGTTCTTGTGTTCTTGTGGTTGTAGTTGAAGCTGTGTTGCAGTGACATGAGAAAGGACAAAAGTTTGGGTGAGTCTTATTATCCATATGATTGATTTGATTATCGAGTCAGAAGATATTTGAAGACTCACATGCATACACAAGTGACAACAATGGAGAATACCAACCAGTCATCGATGACTTGAAACTTGGAGTGAAGTAAAAAGAGCATGACAGTAGGACATGAAGGGAAAAATTTGATATAGCTGTCCAAATTAATGAGTTTTCACAACGTTCTGTCAATATCAGTCATTGAAGTAAGAATTGGAGCGCGTAAAAATCAACGTATTATTAAGTATCTGAGATCTAGTGAAGTCAATCAATATGTGGTAAATAGTGAACCCCACTCGATGACTGAAATTCATCTTCAACCGTCATCGCTAGCTGGCTAAGCTTTGCCGTCCTTTAATGACCCGTATGACCGTTCCGACTGCAGGAGTATGTGTAAGTCTCCACGCTTGATAACATGAGTCGTAGACGGGTGGAGGATGTTAAGCCTCTTCACAGCCTTTTTCAGAGTTAGAATCCGATCTTATTGCAAGAGCAGCGTTTGATTTTGGGCATTGGAACGTATCGCGGTGTGTTACTATGACATCGTTTCCATCGGGCACAATTCCGATATATATTGGAGAGCCGTTGTGATAGATTGGCTGCAGCTCTCCATCTCCCTGAACTTGAACGGTCATGTTTCCACCTTTGAGACAGGATGGTACCCATGTGATTCTGGTGTTACGATGTACAAAAGTAGCACCACACATTGTATCGCAATTTGAATCGAAAAGCTTGACTATAAAATCAAATGTGTTTTGATTGGGTTTGTTGACGGGGATGTAAACTTCGACAGTGCAGGTGTTGACATCAGAATTGCCACAATTTGATCGCGAGCGAACCAATGATGTAGAAAGGGGAGATCCAAGGACGTAGAAAATAACACCCAGAAAGACTTGGGAAAGAATGATGTGTTTCATGTTGATCTACTCGAACAAAACATTAGCTATGAAGCCTTTGAAATGATCAAAGTGCTTTTAAACTTACATGATGTGATGAATTCCTCGACTTGGCTGGAGGAGGGTTCTGTCGAAACCAATAGCTTGTATTTGTGGCTTGGAAGTTAACGCTGTATTGACGATGTATTATAATGAGGTGAGGCCGTTTGTTATTCACCTTGTGGTGCATTTGCAGTTGGCTGTGGTAAATCTTGAGATGCAGTACAGTCGGTTTGCTTTTAGATATGATTGTATTTCAGGTTGGATATAGCAATTAACAGGAGTAGAGAGGCTAACTTGTTCGAGAACAATGATATTGATGACTTGTCCAGCTAACGGAGTCATAGTGTCAGATATCGTGTGCTGTCGAGAAAACAGGGACTCGAGTATGACTCGGAGGCCATAAATCATGAACTCATTGAGAAAGAGTCATTGTTGAATCATGACATGACAAGATATTTAGTGAATATGAGAAAAAATACGTGGAGGTATTCAAGATCTGATAGTCAAAACTTATGGGACTCTCTCAGTGACTGCTACGAACTCAAGATGCTGACAAAATTTGATTTATGTTGAAAATTACCGGGTACACAAGCAAGATTCAAGTCACATTGAGAGGAATTAAATATCAACGAATGAATTTCTTTAAAATGCTGTACATATGTACCTCAAATATGCGTATTGTAGCCCCCGGAGATTAGGTGGAAAGCTAATATAAAATATAGCCAGGCATTCTCAGTATCAGCATGGTATCTCAATTCGATAAACATGGCTTTTGATTGTGAGAGGCACGAGACTCAATAATGCGTCTTCAATACTCTCTGACAAGTACACTAGATATTTCTTTCCTTGCCACCTGAGCTGCGGGAAGCTACAAGACCCAGTGTACCAACTACTAATACCGATATTCGACTCTGGTGCATTCAAACGAGTGAGATTTGAGACAACCCAAATACGACCCTTGACTTCCACGGGCCCAGCATCCATACCGAACGCAGCCTTCTTCCTTTTGAAGACAAATTGATCCTCGCCATATGAAACGCAATTCCAATCCGTGATCGAGGTGGTTGCTGACTCGGGCTTCAAAAAAGTGGTGACGGTGTAGAAGCAGGTGTTTTCAGGCAGCTGATCGCAGGTCATATCGGGTTTTGAGAACCTTTGAGGAGTCCTCGTAGCACTTATTTGCTCTAGACGTTAAAGAAAAAACGGTAGGAATAGAGATGACTCCTTGGAACAATAATGTCCACAAAAGGACAGAAAAACGTAGTTGCATATTGACGGGCTTGCAGCCGTTTTGAGTATGATAGGTCTCTGAAATTTGGGGAGAAACGTCAAAGAACGTGTTGTTGGATGCCAAAGCAACTTTTAGAAAGTTGTGGTTGTGTTGACTGTGGTTGCGGTAATTACGTCGGAAAAGACAAGGATTGCGTGAACTTCCATGAATGAAGGAATAGAGGTACAGGTATCCATTCAGAATCATTGATGTACAAATTAGTGACAATGAATCATTATGGAAAGTGCTTGCAGATATTGCATGATTATGCTACTTCGTGTTGACATAAATTGACTAAGGTTTCCATGTGTAATGTGAATTTTCATTTTATAGTTCGCATTTTGATTTTGTACGTGTAACAAGTAAGCTGACATCTTCAAAAATCATTGGATACTCGGTTTCATCTATTGTGGCTGTATTTGCTCCAGTGATACACTGAGTAAGACCATATTCACGAACTGTTGATATGCATTCAGAGAAATGTACAACGCAGTTCATAGGAGTATTCATGTAAAAATAAAGTTTTTCATATCATAAATGTGCCGCTGGGCGCCGGTAGACCTCTATTTACATACAAATTGTATTCACGCATCCATCTACCCCCGAATTCCATTGCCACTCTTCAAAGCAAAAACGAAAACGAGAACACGATCTGGTTTATCTTCATACAACTTGATACGTAGTTACCATCAAAAATGAACAAGTCTTCTCGTGTCTAACACGGGATCTCTAGCGCGTAAATATTTTAAGCCCTCGGATCTAGACCCAAGGAAACAATTGGAGGCTTAACAATGTTTGCGTTCAAGAGTCTTAAGACACTGTAACTTTTGTCCAACCACTGAAGTTCAGGTAGTAGCGGTGATGTAAAGCCAACCACTGCTTCTGGTGCATTCAACCGGGTAAAATTTGACAACACCCAGACATGATCTTTTAGAGCTTTTGGTCCACCGTCCATGCCAAAAACCCCTTCAGTCCTATTGAAAATAACATGGTCTTGACCATAGTCGGTACAATTACTATCTACCATTGTGGTGATCGCAGATTTCTGATTGGCATAGAAGGTGTAGAGACATGAATTTTTAGAGAGTTGATCGCAAGTAAACTTGGATGTTAGCTGTTGAGATTTATCGAATAATCCAGGAAGGGACAGGGCTGTTGGAACAGCCAAAATGGCTGCTGCGAGAACTCTAAAAATGGCGGGATGGTTCAGCTGCACAGCGATGGGATTGACAGCGGCTTTCAAGTATGAGCTGAGGCTAAAACTGCAGGAAGGAGAAAATACACACGCGGTCTTGTTGGGAATCTTGAAGGCGAGCTTTATTAGCTTAGCTGGTGTTTGAAGTTGGAGGTCACTCTGTGCAGTGCAGTGAAATGTAAGTGAAATAGGTCGAGTAAATGGTTTCTCGGTGAAGATTTCCCGAGTGGATAAGAAGTGTGCAAATGCAAGTTAAATGTTAGTTCTAGTTGATAGATGATTAGTGTTTCTGAACTTGCTGATGTTTATGTAAAAGGGAAAAGCAATTACATATTGAGCATGGAAGGAAAGTAATAACACGATAAAGAATCTTGCTTCCAGTCATCATGACCGCTAGGCCTGACTCAAATTTGAGTACGAGGTACATTTCTTGTGAACGGTGAATAGACGCAACAAAAATGACACAAGGGGACAAGGCCAACATGAATATTGATGGAAAAGAATTAGACCATACAAAAGTAACGACAGTACAGTCACTAACTGTTTAAGAGCCTTGTCTTCAAATGATAGAATACCCCGCTTGAGAGGGAATAGCATCAAATCAAATAGCTGCGCGGAAAGATGTGCAAGACTTATAGGACTCGAGATAAGCATAGTCGCAACAAGACTTGGAGATTCTTCACCTGACACCATCGCTACCCCTGCAGCACCAATTCACTACTTCTAGCGGACATGTAAATCAGAAGTTGACTGCTCACAGCAATTTCATCAATAACGGATGTGCCTGTACTTCAATTCACCTTCCTCACCGTTGCTGCACCAACCACTATTTCTTGTTCATTTGTATTTTGAGTCTGCGGTTGGCGGACACAGCTAACCTTTGAGCCATGGACCGATCCTTGAATTGCGAACATGGGTTCTTCGGTGGGAATTGTCCTCGGAAAGCTTGACAAGAGGGATCCAACTATTGTACATGTAAGATGAACGTAATCGGCGCCATCGAGCAACTACCTTGATCTAATGAGCAACGAAAGTCTCCCATAACAAATCTGCTACTATTAAACATGCTCCACCAATAGTAGATATATTGCGATCGTCAGTAGTGGTACACATTGATAGTTCCGATGATGTGTCTAGTAACTCCTACATAAAGCCAGAGGTACCTAAATTGCACCGGTGATGCCTGCTCGATAAGGTTAGCTGCACGCTCACGCGCCTTTGACGCGGTGATTTTTAATAATTTTGTTGATAATTGTGGAGATTCACCTTCCTTGTTTTTTCCACCAACACCAGCAATAAACTGGAAACAACCACACCGACCGTTGAAGTGAATAGACTTCTTCTATTCCAGTTGTGCAAATAATGATTTGTTTATCTACTTGCATGGGAGAATGTCAATAGTCTGCACGGAAGCCTTTCTTTCAAATCAATTTTGAATCAAAATATGTCGACGCATGTCTTTCAAAGGATTTTTAGTACATCTCTAATTCACTCTCTACGCGAGTGGTTATATTTTGTTTTCAAAACTCTCGATATATGAATTGACTATATACACCCGGTAAAGTAACACCATTATTCATGCTAACTGTTGTATTATGTATACTGTTACAACTTTCATTTGTCAATTCGATATAGAGCTCCCAATGACATTTTAGACTAATTCTCGACCTGGACGTGAAAATTGGGCGATCAGTGCTGGTTTCCAACCCCGCCAGTAGGATTCAAGAAATCCCCATTGGCTCTGCGTTTCTTTTCTAGAACCAGTTGCTTTCTCTGTGGTAACAAAGATAGTCCGCGCAATACTAGGTGTTCCACGCTCATCTATGACGAACAACATCCAGTATCCGGGAATGAGGATACCAGGGTCGGCTGGAGGAGAGGTCAAATATCGATTTCTGCGTAAATGATCTTTTCTCAGAAGTAAAGGTACGCGGCGCTGGTCAGTATTGACTGTGTGGGTTGCACTACTGATGCGAATCAAGGAGGCGGAACTTATCGCAACATCCGTGGTCAGATCCAGCTCATCGCCTAGGTTCATTTGACGTGGGACTTGTGAGATGATCTGTGGACGATCGCGCAGTTTCCCATTGTCTGTCAAGAGATAAGGTGGTGTAAATATCTGGCCGTCATAGTGATTGGCAGAGCAATTACCGCACAGTCCGCCACCTGCATTCAAAACCCTTCCGTCGGGTAACAAAATTGACAGTGTGTGGTAAACACGAACGACATTGTTTCCCGATAGTTCAGTAAAAGTGTTGGCTATCGGGTCATACAGCTCAGGTACAAACTGTACATTTTCTTCATTAAAAGCAACGCCAAATGTCTGACCACCAGCAATGAAAACTTTTCCATCGGGCAGAACGACGGACGTGTGGAAAACTCGCTTTGAATGCATCATACCATCAGCTCCAGCCGGTTTAACATCTGGATATACTCCTGGTCCATCCAGAGTAATGACATGAGCATTACTTGTGGCCCAAGATTTGTCATAGTCCGGAGACCCCCCGATGGTAAGAATCTTTCCTGCCACTGCATCAAACATTACTGCATTGCCAGACATTGAATCTTCATCATCTAGACGATTCCCAGCTGCTTCAACACTGCCATTTCCGTCCGTGAAGTACCAATTCATAGCTCGGCTAGGACCGGCTTGAAAAACACTTCCGTTCTGCCATCCAAAGAGCCAGCCATGGTTGTCAGCTCTCCATCGACGTTCCATATCATCAGTCAACATCTCTTTGACAGTGGCATTAGGAAGCATAGACCAGTTTCCAACGATGGGATCGTAAACTTCTCCGTTTTTTGGAAAACTCGAGCCTCCAGACCAGGAGCCTCCAATAACAAAGATACGTCCATCAGAAAGAGTTGTGGATGCTTGATATCCACGACGTACTCTCATTGGAGGTCCCTTGACCCATTGATCAGAGGAAGAATCGTATAGACTAGTCTCCGAGGCGTCATTGCCGCCAGTGACAACCATCATGCCGGTACCATCAATAGAAATGCCGGGGCAAAACATATCATGCGTTGTGTTGGTAACGATCCGTTTTGAGACTACATTTGTTAACGGGTTCCAACGAGCCATTGCCGTCTGACCACCAGGTGTAGAGTGAAATGTATCCGAAGCCCATGATGACCACAAAACAATGTTTCCAGAGGCCTCTTGAGCCCCGGCAACTGGAACGACTGGAAAATCAAGGGTCGGACCCCAGAGACCTAGTTTGGGATCTCGAGGGATGGTGTATTGTGTCGCATAGATATTGAGCTCGGAGATACCTATCCAGGACGAGATGTCCGCCTCCGCGCTTACATTGAGCTTCATGTATCGAGCGGATGTAGGCTCGAACGCGGATAGTCGCTGTCTGTTTGTGTTTGGCCACATTCCATATGCAATAGGCTCTTCCCAATTTTTCTTGTCATTGCTGACGTATATTTCATGTTGAGTAATGAGGCCATCATCTCCTGTATCAATAGGAGGGAGGATGACCAGCGCACTGATAGTGTAGTACTTCTTCAGGTCTATTATCAAGCTGTGTCCATCTGAGCTCAAGTCGCTACGCCAGGAAGTTGTATTACTTCCATCAATCGCACTTTGACACGGATGTTTTGCATCAGAACTGCTGCATTCCAACTTCCACTCTTCGCGGGGGATTCGGATTCCTTGATGGGGACGTGATTCATCGGTGAATGTTGGTTCCCATGAGGGTTTGTCGACTGGTCCATAACCAGAGATGCGCTCTGAATTTATCGCCTCTGTCATGAAGTTACTGACAGCATGAACTCCGCCCAAGGAAGCTCCAAGGAGTAGTTCCCTCAACTGTAGCTTCATTTTCGGTACTGAAACAATTTCAAGAAAAGCAGTATAATACTAAGAACAGTTCGTAGTTGTTGAGCTTACCTGAGGGAGAGAATATGTATATAAGTAGTCAAATAATGATTTCATTAGCTTCTATTGTGACTTCTCGTTTAGAACTTGGACGACTGCAAAGGCTCACGATTAGCGTTCCGAGGGATCTTCACTACGTGGGTGAAAAGGAGGTCAATAGTCTAACGAAGCTTCAAACTCCCTGTGTGATGATGCAGTCAACGTGTCGTCGAAGTAGATTTCCCGCATGTGTATATAAAGTTTGATAGCTTTTACTGACCCATGTTGACAAGATGCACAGTCAATTCAACCTCTGTCAGTCAATACAACGCTCCGACTTATCCGGCAAATTGATCGATTCATACCAGTATGTTTTCAGCTTGCAGATTACCAGGCTTAGTTGATTCTCTTCTTCGTCAGAGATGAGATATATCAAAACAGTCATTGGTAGCTTCTCAGCTATTCAGCAACTCCATGATGATCATAGCAGGGAATCGTTAAGGACGAATAGATGACGTCGAAGATCTATGGGTCCAGCAAGGTACATTTGATTTTCGGTTAGGCCTGTTCTCCACAACTCAGCTGTATCGCAAGCCGTCTTCTAACATAAATGAAGTTAGTATGGTGGAGCTTCACGTTGACTGCTCCGTAACTGCCGGTATTCCCCCTCTGAACTTTCATCAAAGGGCTCTAAACAAGCATGTTCTAATTTCTTACGCTGTATTGATTTTTTAGCAATCCAGTATCTATCTATCTGATACTTGCAATACATTCGGTTCAATCTCCTGACTATTGTTTACTCTTTACCAATTTATTATACAGTAAAAATTCACCTGACTCAACTTAAGCCTATTGCCTTTGAGGCCTAATCTTCGTAAAGACGGGAACATCGGAAATAGAGGCACAGATTGAAGATGAAAGCTAGTTACTTGGCCGAATCATCTATAAAATCCTCTCAAAAATTTTACCTTGATTTGAACGAGAAACCAATTTCTCAGAAGGTGCTAGGTTTCAGCTCGGTTAATTGAATTTAATCGGCAGACCTCATACGGAGTCAAAGATAGATACGCTGTATCAATACAGTATTGGTTGACACTCTTTCGGTCATTATGGCTACCCCACTTTAAGATTGCAAAAGACATTGCTGATCTTTCAGCCGCAGTATCACGTAAGGACACAGGATAATAGTGTTCGTGGGGATGGCGCGCTTGTCATTGTCACTAACGCACCGACATTTAACGCTGTAATGCTCGATACTGGTTGAACTGCTTTGTCCGTATGAAGTAATCCGACGATGTCCGGTGAAGATTCACAGATCGACCATCATCCCGTAAGAGCTGTCCTATGATACCTTGCCCATCACGTATCTCCATATTTCAGCTCTAAAAGAGAATCAATAGTTTGGCTTGAGATTCGATCTCTATTCTAGTAGTCTAGGTTGTAGTGATCTAACGCGTATTCTTTTGTAGTTGTCCATTTGATGTAACGTTGGATCAATTACCATATGCCTATCATGAGATTTTGTTGACGAAAATTGCTACAAGATCATCAAGCAGCTCTTCCAAAGTGATCCACACCCTTCAATTATCAATTACTGAGCTCACGAGCAGTTGCTATATACCTCAAACCAATGTAGATCTAAAAGCAGTGCATCTTGTGCTGTACTTTTCTATTTAACTTTGTTGATATCCTCGAACAAGAGCATCATTCATCGCAGCGTGCCATACTTTCTCTACGTCTGCAGTCTTTGAAGTATTTTTAATCTAGACGCTCCCATTCGAGCTTTTGT